TATTTTTGATGTTGTTATTTAGTTAAAAAAATTAAAATAAGGGGCCTCATTTTTTACTTCTCCCGTCTTCGCCTTGGGCCTCTCAGACCCTAGGAAGCCCTTAGTATGTGGTTCGAGACAAAGAAATATCCGTTTTTCCTTTATACTTTACATGGATCTGTTTTTATGTTGTTAGCTATTTTGTTTATTCTTCTCCGAACCACTTATTTACAAATTTCATTAACCACAAATTTATTGAGCGGCCAAATCTTTCTATGGACTGCTTCTTTGGCCACTTTTGCTGTCAAAGTGCCTATGGTACCAGTTCATATTTGGTTACCCGAAGCTCATGTAGGGGCACCTACGGCAAGATCCATCATCTTGGCAGGAATTCCTTTAAAATTGGGAGCCTACGTGTTTTTAAGATTATCAATAACCATGTTTTCCGAAGCGACACATTGTTGCACAACTTTCATTTATAGTCCAAGCGTTGACATACTTTAAGCCAATCAATCTTAAGAATATAATAACTTACTCATTAGTAGCTCATGTGAATCTGGTGACTATTAGTATGTTTAGTCGTGCGGTGGCCGTTAGTCACCTATTTGGAGTTAGGATGGATGTAAAATGACAACTAAGTATTTGCACTTGAATATATTTTAGGACTAAATGCATTTTTCTCCCTAGAAATTTTTAACTTTCCCACTTCCCCTTTTACAAAATGAGACTATCTCCCTTTAAAATTTGATGCTAGTTGCATTTCGCCCCAATTGACACTTTCCAACATTTTTCTCACCGGTATTTTTATTTATCTGTTCACTAGAAGGGCATTTTTCTGTTCACTTGGGCAAAGTGCATTTTTTCCATTCAATTTAAAGAAACAAAATTCAATATAAGTCATATCTTTTTGCGGTGACACATCTCCACCAACCTCCACAGTTACACCACTCTGCATCCGCCTTATGCTTCGCCACCTGCAACCACCCACTACCACATCGCAGCTGCAACACCACCACGAAGAACCCGTCCCAAATCCAGATAACCAGCCGCTTACAGCCATCCAACAATAAATTCAAACAATCGTTCGTCCACCCTTATATAGGATATTAGGTGGCCAAATAAATTGGAAGGATTTATGCGTCTACGATGTGTGACTAATCGTCATCTTCACCGCCGTAGAAGATGTCAATATTGGGTAGGGTCCAACATCAATCACTGTAGAAGTAGGTTGACATCAATTGAGCTGCAAAAACTACTAACGGAAAATCTTAATTTTGAGCCAACGGGATGATGGTTATGCTGGTGGTTAAAGAAACTAGTGTTGTGAGAAAATTGAAACTTGTGAGAGCATGGTGGATCTTCTGCCTGAAGATGATGGCTTTTTAAGATAATGAAGAGCGGTGGAGTGAACGAGTTGGTGGTGCCGTGGTGGGAAGAAGGAAGAGCATTAGGGTTTTTAAGGAAAATTTGAAATTGCAAGTTGCTTTTTAGAATTAGATGGATAAATTTAAAATCGGGTGAAATTGAATAAAATACATATATATATACCCTAAAATGACGCATATACCTTAAATGGACAGAGAATTTTGAAATCCGTTAAAAAATGCACCAGAGTTAGAATTATGGGTCAAAGTGCAACTATAACAAAATTTTGAAGTGGGAGAGTCTCATTTTTTTATTTGTAAGGGGGGAAGTACAGTTTCTACCCCTGAACTATGGGGCTTGTCACAAACACCTCCCTGAACTACGAAACGTAACAAAATGGTCCCTACCATTTTAGTCAACCGTTACAAAATAAACACCCGTTAGTATATGAGTGCATTATCCATTTGTACTTCAAATATGTATGTACTATTAGGTTGTATCTTTAGGTACAACCACAGTAAGCACATCTTCTTCCACCTTTTCTTTAATTGATTTACCATTCAATTTCTTCAAATTAAATCTTGAGCACACTGACCCACCGCCACCACAAGCATCTCGCCGGCATCCTCTCTCCTCACCAACATCGCACCCACTTCCATGTGAATCTCGGTCCTCCATTGCGTCTTCTCCCTCAAATTGAAACTCCAAATCACAAGGGAATCGGCCGCACCGGGGGAGCAACACAAGCCTGCGCGAATCAGAGTTGTGGTTCGCGGCTGGGCTAAAGCGGGGAGAGAACAAATTGTTGTGGACTGCGAGGCGAGCTATGACGTCATAAAAATGTGCATTTTTTTTATGGCGGCGGAATTTCTTGGGTTCTCTGCGGGGTTGTCAGATCGTTAATAGAACTTGGATTTTTTTTACGAAATATTCTTAGAATACTACTGCCTGACTAGAATTAAAGGAGATACTTGAGAATCCTTGCAAGAAATTGGTACTTGGTGCTTTTTAAATGCACAGCCTAATGGTAGGATTAAAGAGATGATATGTTGTTCTTATTTCTTAATTTGGTGTAAGCATTTGTTAAATTGAGGTGACTTTCATAGTTGCTCTGGTGATGCGATAGAGATCTTAGAGGCTCTGTTGAGAGCATTTATATATATATATATATATATATATATATATATAAACACAACAGACAGAGGGGTAAGAATGTCGGAAAAAGTGAAACAATAAAAAAATTAACTATGAATGATAAAGTCAAAAAGCCATGTCATCGTACACTAACAGATTGTAAACCGAGGGGCCATTTTATTACGTTTTGTAGTTCATGGGTGTTTGTGACAAGCCACGTAGTCCAGGGGTGCAAATTGTACTTTTCCTATATTTTATTAAAATTAACTTTGGAATATAATAGAATTAAACAATAAATTAAATTAAAAACACCAACCTCAACTAGGGGTAGAAATTGGAACACAGTTTTCGATTACAGCCGATTCTGATCTAAAATTTTCCGATTTTGGAACAATTTTTTTCAATCTGAATTTCAAAATTCGACTTTCAATTTTTCTAAAATTATTTGCATCAGAATTGGAATATATATATATATATATATATATATATATATATATATATATATATATACACACACGGCCACGAGGCGGGTCGCGTCCGACTTTTAGAGGACCCGAAACTGCCCCGTGGGGAGGCGGGTTCGGGGCAGGTCCACCCTGGTCCATTCGGTTCCGGGTCCAAACTAGTTTTCCTTTTTTTTTTTTTGTTTTTTTCTCCAAATAATTAAAAGAAAAAAAAAACTTAAATTGAAAGTTGAAAAAACTTAATATTAACTTGAAATTCAAAATTACAAAAAAAAAAAAAAAAAAAGAAGAAGAAAATTAAATTTAAACACTAAACAATTTCAGAAAAAAATGAAACGATTAAGACCTTGAGATATAAACTAAATAAAATTAAAGTTGTGAAGATTAGATTAGGGGTATTTATAAGTGAAAATAATAATAGAGAAATTTTTCAAAATTTCGAAATTTAAAAAAATCAAAATTAAATCTTTCTTTAAATTAAATCGTAATTTTTTATATTTTTCAAAATTAAATATATATGCATTTGTTATTAGTGGAGACTTTTAATATTAATCTAAGTGAACATGACAATTAATAATTTATTAAACATTAGTTATACAATTCTTATAATTATTTTAAAGTGTTATTTCTATTTATATATTTATAGTTTGGATTAGTATATATAACAATAAGTAATTTGCCCGAGTGGTTTGCCCGATATTTTGAACCCGAGACCCGGTTGGGGGCCCGAGGACCCGTCGTGTCTACCTGGATTTTAAGTGTAATATCACAAAAAATGGTGAGATTGGGGATCGAACCCGAGTGGCCGGAGTTGTTTAGTAGTGACACTTCATTTGAAGTTAATTTTAAGTTTTCAAATTCTTCCCATTTCAAATCTTCAATGAATGATTGAGAGGAGGGAGGGTGCAAGTGCAAGGAATTGAACTTGAAAGCAAGCAAGTACCATTCATCTCCAGCAGCCTTGAGTGAATTGGCCTCTCAAAGCAGTAGCTGCCCGTTGAATACCCCTCGCAACCCTCCACGTCTCGTCCGTAATCATTGCCTTTCTTTCCTTCTCCCCTCTTCTTTCAGACATTGCATCACCTATTCCAGGAAAAAAATCAATCTTGCTTTCACTATCCCCACAAGGCCCATATATCTGCATTGTACGTTTTAAAAAACATCATGGGTTCAAAAAAAGAAAGAAAAGGAAAATACAGTTCTATGAATGGCATCGAAGAATATGCTCACAAGATGCTTGAACCATTGCCTTCCGGGGAGACACTCAGAATCTAAGAAGCCTCTTTCAGTAAGCATTAGTCGATCGTTTAACATGCGCCTCCTCAATACTGTAGATTCGTCCGTCTATCTATATATATATATATATATATATATATATATATATATAGGTGTCCAAGTGGACACCCTTGAACCGTGCTATATCCACCACTAAATCTAGTCTTGCTACCAATTTTTGATACAAGAGCGTGTCGTGGGCCAATCCCGACACATTAGTTAGCTAATATGCTGCTTGAGGATACCACTACAATGTATACGTGTCATGTTATGATGGGTTGTTGCAACTAGGTTGACATGTGTGTGTGTGTGTGGGGGGGGGAATATGAGATTGCGATTTTCCTCCGATTTAAGTTTCAAAAATAACTCCGAAAATTTTGAATATGACACTTAAAATACCAATATTATTATGTATTTTATATTCTAGGTGAAATAAATTAAACAATTTTGAATTCCACCAATTCCGACCCGAAATTTTCCAATTTTGGAACAGGTATTTTCGTTTCACTTTACGAAATTCCGATTTCTGAATTTTTCCGATATTTTGGAATATAATTAGAACTAGTTTGAAAAAATATATATATATATATATATATATATATATATATATATATATATATATATATATATATATATATATATATATATATATATATATATATATATATATATATATATATATATATATATATATATATATATATATATATAAGACAATCCATGTCATAATATTGCGACACGTGGCACTTTTTAGGGTTTCAAAACCATAAGGAATTTTAGCTTGTGCATTTGTATAAGTGGAAATTAACAATTTTTGTTTGTATGATTTGTTGATTCAGAATGAGAGTGGGTGTGAGTGCACGGAGCTACGGGTACAACAGCCGTTTAGACGGTAATAGTTAATTTCGTAAAATAGATGCTCTCTCGTGTTAGATTTTTTCGTCTCTTTTTAATCAATAAATTTCATGCTGTATTTAAACTTTATTGCTGTAGATTCAAAAGATCTTCGCCTGAAACTAACACGCAAGAGAATGTCAAAGCATATAGAGCTCGAAAACGAGAAGCGTAAAAAGATGGAACTACACGAGAAGGCATCAAGAGCTACACCACCTTCTAGAAGGGCTGCTGAAACACAACCGATAGGTTCAACGATTAAAAATTCTTATGCTTCTTGGAATTCAAATGCAGCGAAAACGGGATCCCCCGAAAGAATTCGAAATTTTCTGGTGGATTTTCTAACAACCCCATGAATTCTATTGGCCAACTGCCACATGTACCATCAATTAGGCCGATAGATGCTTCAAGAGAAGAGCATTTGTCGATGAGGGATGCCTTGGAATCTTCTAGGCCTGATTTACCTATATTCACCACTTCGAGAGGTTTTCTGGATAATGGCAAGATGGTCACCGATCTTCCTCCAGCAACAGGTGGCATGTCCAGACCTATTTACCAGGTAAAAATCTATTTTCTCTCATATTTCGTTTACCTCGACTCCTCTGTTTTTGTTCAGCTCTGTTTTGGTGATTTTTTCCTTATTTTAAGATCATGCATTACAGCTTCTTCTACGGTGAGTGCTGGATCGCTTGCTGACCTGTCGAACCTTGCAAACACGAGCATCTACGGTTTTGAGGATTACCACGGCGTGGACATTGGCGTTGTGAGAGGCGTTCGTCTATGGTTCTCCGCTCTCGCGGGGGAGATACCTGTTGAGATCAAAATCAACGACACTGACACCAAGCTCGGATTCACCATCAGAAGAACTGAAGAGGTACCTTTATTGGAACGGAAACTTTCCGATCCGAATATTTATGATTTTGGAAAAATAGTTTCCGTTGCAAATTCCAGAAGTTCCGATTCCGATTTTTGTGATTTTTTTTGAATGGAATTGGAATACATATTAGATTCTGAATTTTGATCCGATTTTAATATGCGAAAGTATTCTCATTTTCTTTCCCAAATATTATACATTATGTGTTTTGTTATTATTAAAGGTGACTAACATAGAGATTTCTTTCATCCCGATTTCCAAAATTCTGCTTTTTTGGAATGCAGGGGTTCATATACATATCGTCTGTGGTCGAAGCAGATAACCCTTCGGAGCGGTCGGGATTGAGCAGTCTCTACAAACAAGCATCGCTAGCATCAAGATTGCTCGTGGTTTCAAGAATATCGAACCGAAAGGTGCTCCCGTGAATGGTTTCTCCCGCAGGCGCAATCCGGTGCTTCGACACCGTTTCTCTCAGCCAAAAACTTTCGCTCCACCGCCACGCCAGGGTGGCAATCATAGTGCACGTCTTCTTGTGGGACCGGAGGGTGAACTACGCTAACGTGGGCAGCATCCGGGCCCGGGCCATGTCCACGTCAACGTCGAGCCCGCCTAATTTGGGGCGGCCCGTTAATCAGAGTCAGGTGGTGCCACTGGAAGTTGACGACCAAGAGGATTTGGAAGATGACTACGAGATCGAAGTTAGCGATGAGCCGGATATTACGCTTGAACGGAATAATGCAGGCGAGTTTTCGTTTCGTTTGCGCGATTTCGGTCTTACGGATAATTGTGTGTGAAAATGTGACTTATTATTATTATTACGCGTTTGTGTTAATTGTTGGTTTTTGTTTTGGGAAAACTTAACTGAGCAACTCACATTTCTTGTTACGTAGTTCTTGTTATTGTAATTGGTATACTTCATTATTTTATGTGCGAACTGTCGTACCTAATTTTTTTTCCTATCTGAAATTATTATTATTTTTTTTACTATATTTGAACCAATTTCTTGTAGACCGTAATGGAAGAAGTCTTCCAGCTTGAGGGTCTTCCCGGCTTCATTCCGTAAAAGGTACATACAGTCAGCATGGTTTTTCTACTTCCATTTTCTATATATATTTTTTTCATTTTTCATATTTCACTGAAAACTCTCTTTATTTGAAAACTCTCTCGCATCATCTTTGATAAAATTGCAGATTTGCGCTTCATTTTGCTGCCAAATTTTGATGGGCAGATGGCGATCTTCTTCAACATACATTAAAAAAATGTGATTTCTTGGAATCAGTTGGAAGCGCAGGTGCACTACTTCTGAATAGTATGGATTGGCTTTCATATATACCTTTCTTTCATTTGCATCTCAAAATCTTGCTCGAAAATTTATTTCATCCTGACATTTTCCAAATGGATAACTATAATAAATATATTTATTCATCTATGTTGGTCCATGGTGATCATGAAGGCATCAATTTGAGTTCAAATGGATCTTCCAAAACCTCCATCTTTAATTTCATTATCTGGTATGTTTACTTTTTATGTTTACTAAAGTTGGATCCGAACGTGAAAAGGTGAAACACATTATTATTTTTACTTTTTATGCGCCTCGGTTTTACTTGTCTGAACAATGCTATGTGGAATTAATGGAGGAGTTTGAACAGTAGATAAACTAATAAAGATGCAATAGATTGAGGTGGTGTGAATAAAAAGCTAAGTGCCTCGAGCAAATTATTCGTCCAATAAGAGAAGATTTAACTGTTTATTGATCTCGTTACAGTTTTATTTATAGGTATTGATATCCTTATCCTCGATGAAACATAGTGTTGAAGAAAAAAAAACAATTTAATTGCTCTCTGTTTTTTTATAGTATATATTTGCAATGAAATCTCAATATTCACATATTACGATTTATTTAATATATAATGTATATATATTCGTGATCTGGTATATCAACTCTGTTTATTGTCGATATTGATTGCTTGTTATGGAGATGAGCTTGTTAAAGCCTATGAGATTTATAATTCACATTATACTCTTCTATTGCTAATAGACAAATGGGATTAAGTAATAATCTTGTGTGTGTGTTTATGTATACATATATAATTATAACAAATACGTAGTTCAAGTTCCGTTGCAACACCGAAAATATTTTGTGGCCGAATCGGACATTTGTTTTTAAATAAAATGCTAAATTAATTTAGAATTTTTTAATCATGACAATAAACATGTAGTCAGTAATCTTCATGTGGTACGGCTGTAATTGTTTTTATTCCTGTAGTTGCTATGTATTTGTAGAAGTTTATATGTATATTTATTTTTTGTGAAAAACTAGCGTGAAAGCTACATTATGGGATTGATGCTCTGCATAATGTTCAATGCACCGTCGTGTTTGTACGATAGGAGAGAAGACAACTCAACTATTTCCGATGCACTGTCGTTCAATAATTATAGGCGTGTTGGTTCTTAATTGTCTTTTTCTTTTCTCAGGCTGTGGAAGGGACTCAAATTTGTGGGGCGTCGAGAATTATAGGCGTTTAATTAAATCCAAGTTGTTTTGATGAAGGTCTCCTTAATTGCTCAATAAATCTTGAACATGCCATAAGAATTATGCATATATAGTACTAATGATTGCCATTAAATAATTAGTGTCTTAATTTTGTTTTGAAAACAGCATAGATATTTGGTGTTACGAATCCAAAGGATTATGACATATTGTTTGCAGACACTTGTGTGCATGCTCACAGGGAGGAAAATCCGGAATGAAAATGCTCGTGCACGGTTGTAACGATAGATGTGAGCAAAAATGTTAACTGTTTCCGTTAATTTTTAAAATATTAATTCCTTTCATTTTTTGTTTATAGACCCAATAATTTTTCTAATTTAATTTACGATTTTGTAGATGTTGCACCCGATGATCATACACTTCCAATCTACATATAATAATGCACACATATTTATATGTATGCTTAGTGAGTAGTTATTTGTATAGATCTATGGTGCAAATCACTCGATGTTTTTTATATGATGCAGCAGCATCTCATAGACCTTTAATTTACTCGCAATCACTAGACTTAATATACACACATATGTAATAGTATATTTCAGTAAAATTTCATCGGATGTGACATAGAACATAAAATAAATGCAGGATGTGACATAGAACATAAAATAAATGCAACCGATCTTATTTTTTTTGCATTCATTTTGTTTATAGTTACTTACACATTTCCCTCAAATCTCTTCCAATTTTTATTCTCTTCTTTCTCTTCACCATTGTCGCCACCGTTCTTACATTCTTCGCCACCACCACACTCCTCAAATGTAGAAATTTGTGCATGCCCTATGCCGTTTAATTGAAGCAAAGAATAACCGCTCATGTATCATCTTTGGGTTGCACAACATTTATCTTACTGGCTCCACAAAATGAACAAAATGCAGTATGAAACTGAACTATCCATGTGAGTAACTTAAGAATAGTCGATTCTTCTGTTCTTAAGGTCGGTATTATATATGGTCAGTCACTACGGGTGTATTCTAAAATAATGCAGCCGTTTCCATTTAATATTCACGAACGAACCCGTTTGTTATGATATTTGGCTATTTTCTTTGTGAAATTTTGAAGGCAAACGTTTTTGGTATTTCTATGTTCTTGCAGGAGTATTGATGCTATAGTGATTCTTAACTATCATATGCAGAAGAGAACTGGAACAGTACGATCTGATGTGAAACAACCATGTCTCTACAAGAAAAGTACTCTTCTTATTTCTTCCAATTTTTTTCTTCAAATTTTGTTATGTGCATCCTAATTCTATGTATATTGGTGTTCATTGAAGAAGATATTTCAACTGCAGATTGATAAAAATAAATGGAATTTCTTGGCGGACTACTAAGGAGCTTTGAGATTTCCATGTTTGAGATGTACTAATTTTTTTTGCTGATCCATGCTACACTCAAGACTTATATATTATGTTGGCGAGGAATTCCTCTTATTTTAATGCCCAAAGAGGATTATATTTTTTAACGACAATAGTTATGTTGGATTCAAATAGTCATTTGTAAATAATTTGCAAAATCTACTTCTACATTATCGTGGTTATGAGGAGTATTTACATTCCAACTAATAATTTATTAAGGTTTATTTGCTTCTAATTGTTTCATAGTTTTGGGTACACAGTATTACATTGCGCATTCGCATCATCAACCCCGTCGAAATAACCAATCGACTCGTCCTGAAATGATGGCTGGGCACCGCGCATTGCGCGGTTGACCCCAAAGTGGATCTCTCTTGCAATATCCGAAATATCCGCCACCAACGCAACATGCTTTGACTTCTCCTCAGTTACAATTGCGTGTAACTCATTTACGAAAATACGCAATACTGAGCTTTAAATCTTATGCTTTAAATCTTATGATTTACGATTCAAATCTTACAATTCAATTCATTTATACCTAAGTCGACTCAAATGTTAAAATAAATCTTAAATATCAACGAATTGATCAAATTTTACGGGTAACAATTTAAGAGAACTTTAATTTATTATATTATTTATAATAAACTTGGGATAGTTACAGATTTGGTCCTAATATTACATACTTTTTTTTTTTAATTTTGGTCCTTAAACAAGAAATGCACCCCATGTGGGGGTCAATTTGTAATTTCTGGTAATTCACTGAAACAGTTTTGAAAATTGCAGAATCGCCGCTATACTTACTCCATCTTCCCAGCTGTTCCACCCAAATAGCAAATTTAACACCAAAGTAGATCTCTCTTGTAATATCCGAAATATCCGCCATCAACGCAGTATGCTTCGACTCCTCAACTATAATTGCGTATGACTCATTTATTAAAATTCGGAATACCAAGTTTAAACTCTTTTAATTTACGATTCAAATCTTACGAATCAATTCAATTCATTCATACCTAAGTCGATTCAAAAGTTAAAATAAATCTTAAATATCAACAAATTTTACGATTTACTATTTAGGAAAACTTTAATTTATTATATTATTTATGATAAACTTGTGATAATTACAGTTTTTGTCTCTATATTATATACCACTTTAATTTAATAATATACCATTTTTTAATTTAGTCCTTAAAGCATAAATGCCCCCAAGTGGGGGTCAATTTGTTATTTCTGGAAATCTACTTCCCTGGCTGAAACAGTTATAAAAATTGCAGAATAACCCATATACTTACTCCATCTTCCCAGCTGCACTACCCAAAATGCAAATTTGAGCCCGAATTGGATCTCTCTTGCAATATCCGAAATACCGTCCACCAACGCATTATGCTTCGACTCCTCCTCAGTTACAATCGTGTGTGACCCATTTACGAAAATTCGCAATACCGAGTATAAAATCATATGATTTACGATTCAATTCATTGATACCTAAGTCGATTCAAAAGTTTAAATAAGTCTTAAATATCAATAAATCGATCAAATTTTACGATTTAGGAAAACTTTAATTTATTACATTATTTATAATAAACTTGTGATAATTACAGTTTTTGTCCCTATATTATATACCATTTCTAATTTTGGTCCTTAAACCGGAAATGCCCCCCAAGTGGAGGTCAATTTGTAATTTCTGAAAATCCACCTCACTGGCTCAAACAGTTCTGAAAATTACAGAATCACCCCCATCTTCATACCCGCTCCATCCAAATTGCAGATTTGACCCCAAGGATCTCTCTTTCAATATCCAAAATACCCGCCACATTTACGAGAATTCGCAATAACGAGCATAAAACCTTATGATATACGATTTAAATCTTACGATTCAATTCATTCATATCTAAATCGTCACTTCCCATTGCCACATTCAACACAAATTTTACCTAATCGTAAAAGAAAAGATAAAAAAAATGCAGCCTAAAATTTGATATATGAAAGTATGTCGAAAATACATAATACGATAAGTGCTTGTATTCACCCGAGGCACCCGGCACCGCGCATTGCGCGGTGCTCGACAATAGTATATATATATATATATATTGATATACCTAAATGGGCCGGCCCAATGGGCCCTCAAATTTATATACCAATTAGGCCCATTACACGAAAGCCCAAAAGC